TATTTTTTTTTTATCAAAGTTAAATATGAAACTGAACGGTAAAACTGAGTTTGTAAAGTATAAATTCATATAACCCTTATCATACTACCGTCATTTCCAGTAAAGGTGTATTATACTTTGAGATTGCAGTCCGTTCGCCTGAACAAAAGGCTTCTAATTAACACTTATACTGAATTAACACTGATTATATTTTAGAAATTACATATGTGCTACAAAATTAACATTGACATATTTTAGAACCTATATATGTTCTACAGAATTAACTCTGATATATTTTCGAACCTAAATATGTATTAGAGAAGTAACTCTAACGTATTTTTGACGACTTTTATTTCCATTTTCATATTTTTTGAAGCCAGTGAAGATTAGTATTGCAAGATAGGTATTACAAAATTAACTCTGATAATTTATAGAATCTAAATATGTATTGCAGAATTATCACTGACATCTTTCAGAACCGAAATATGCGTTACAGAGTTAGCATTAGTGTATTAGAACCTAAATATGGATTACAAAATAAAAACTGAGGTATTTTGGAAGTCAAATCGTACCTGTGAGAAGCAAAGTCAAGCCAGCACACGTGCACGTCCAAAGCGCATCCTATTGAAAAGAAAATTATAGGGTAGTAAACGAGTACTTTGAAATCCCATTTTCTATGTCAACAATTGTTCTGGAAAGTGAGAAAGGGTTGTTGCTGGCAACATTGTGATTTCATATCTCTACCTACTGAGCTATTGTATTCATTTCCTTGCTGAGTATTCCTGTTTAGAATTTCATAAAACTATCTTTCCCTGTTGGCGCCTGTTCAGTTGTGTCTTTTGAGTCTAATGTCACTAGACTTTTTGAAATCAGCATATACAAAAGAAATAGTTAGTTGTTAACTTCTTGAAAAGGTTTTCATTTTGTATTTAGTTTTGGTTAAAATATGTATAACATTTTTGACATCTGAAAATTTATGATTCATTGACTACTTGGAAAGTAACTAAAAATTACTAAAAGTATTGTTACATATTGTAAAGTTAAAGTTTGAGCGGGCTTTGGATAGGTGAAAGTATTTTGTTACCATTCCAAGAATTCTTTCAAAATGCTAGACTAACTATCTTCTTTAATAAGTGAAAAGCCCCTTAGCCTTGAAATTATTGTTTTATTGTAAAATTTTGAATTTTCTCAGTAACCTTAAGTACCTTTTTGGGATGCTCTTGATTTTAAACGAAAAAATTAATAAATAAAAATAGCTAAATATTTTTTGGCGTAAATAAATAAAATAGTTTGTGATAATTCTAAGGCATAATTCTGGAAGAAAATTTTATATAAACTCGGTATTTTAAATGTAATAGAAATAATGAGAGCAAAGTGGAAAAATAGGAAAAAGTCGAAAATGACAAAAATAACACAAATTTTTTAATCTAAAGTCACCTGCTTCTATTACATGTAGAAAGTTGCATTAAATGCGTAAATTCGTGGATGAGGAAACTGAATATGTGAAACTTAATGTTATTTTCTCAAGACAAATTAAAAGATATTTGCAAGAAGGACACAGAGTGCTGGTACTTTTTATCGCAAACCCCATTTCTATCGGGACATGTTACGGAACAAAAAATCTAATATACCGTAATTTTTTCACTAATAATTACAGTAATATCACTATAATTAAATAACTATGACTGTAAAAATGACCGTATAATCTTTTACGATAAAAATAGATTTCATGGATGACACTACCAAAGTGCCGGTACTGTAAACCGTAATATGATTCAAAATTTTTTACAGTATAGATTGGAGTCCCGTTGCTGCTATTATCCTATTTTCATTGGCGTAACTAAAAAAATTGCGTAGAGTGGTCCATAACCCAAATTACGTTTATAACGATTATTTTTTAAATAGTTTTTTGAAACAGTAATTGGTGAAAATAATTATTTTAGGAATACCAATAGAAATTATAGGATAGAAGTAGCCTACTCTGTTCCCTACTTAATTACATCAATGTGTCTTTAGTGTTTGCCATCTGAATGATTTGTACCTTACCAGTTCATGTGCCAAATATTCCATGTGATTGCATTTAAAATAATAAGTGCGAATAATTTTAAACTGTTTAAATATTTTTGGTTTATTTTTTCAAACATTAAAAAAGTTGGACATATATTTCAAGCTATCATTATTACTTAAATTTCTTATTTAAATCTTTCTTTTTTCTTTTATCAAATGTTACTGATGGATTTCTTTTTTCATTATACAAAGAAGCTGCATTGTTATTTTATGTTCAGCTGTTTTTAAAACAGTAAAGTTATTATAAAATCTGTTATTAATCAGCGTGGTTATGAAGGTTAAGACTTTATAAGCAATGGGCTATGCAATTATTGCGTTGCTGTTGTTGTTTCTAATGCTACTTCACAAACCTGCTTAGTGAAATCAAGCGAATTTAAGGCAAAGGATGCGTTTTTCAGTGGCTTAATATATGACCAAGAATATGTCTTCGGCATCACACACGTCACATCCCGTTTTAAAGGGCGGACTCATTCATGCATCCATTCATTCATCCACAAATCGTAATTTTGACCTGATCCAGAGTACGATCAATCTCCAATTCAATACTTCTAGAGGTATTCATTTATTATGGGAACTTTGAGGTCTTTGTGACCCGACAGATTTAACATGCACCAGTCACCATTTACTACACTGTAAGTCTTCTGCTGGTGGGTATCGAACTCACGACCCCTTGGACTTGAACTACCAACCAGGCTGTCCGGTCTTAATTAATTACGAAAGGACCAGAAGTGGAAAGGGGGTTAATAAGATGCTTATTTTTGATGAAAAGGGTAAAAAGGGTATGAGCATTGCCTTAAGCAAGACCCTTAAATCCCTCTTATTTTAATTTTTTTTTGATCCAAAGAAAATTTATATGAATTTATAAGCAAAATTACACCTGGAAAATTTCAATTTGAAATATAATTTAGGAAAGAAGAAGAAGAGACTTATAAGGAGTTATAAGGAGACTTATAAGGAGAAGAAGTTACTTATAAGGAGTTTCAAGGTTCTCTAAAACGAATTTCCTTTAGTGCTAAGTTACATTTTTTACTTTAATTTAATCCTACAATTCTGAAAACTGGATTACCTTAGTAAATGTTAAAATTAAAGCAAAAAAAAGTCACTATTTTCTTACGTAAGCATTGGAAGATAGTTTGCGATTTGCTTATTTTTGCGGGACTGGGTGAGTCCAAAATTGGCAAAGACGCGTTTACATAATATTTCAATGGTCAGCATCGGCAATGTGACTAGCATTGCGTACCGAGCCAGGTAAGGTGATATCCGATGATGGGTGGACCTCAATCAGGGTCAGAATCCCAGTTCTGAACAATGAGTACTCAATATCTTAATCAATGCTCCATTGTGACTCATATTAAGGAAGTATGCTATATTTATTATATTAGGAATTATTATTTATCATATTAGGAATTATGCATATTTTTGTAGCATTATAATGAATGAATAATGCTATAAAAATATGCTATATTAACTCAGAGATTATTTATATAAAAGGAAGTTTTCCTGAAAAAAATTAGTACATTATGAAAAAAATCGGTTCTATTAAACTGAATCATTTTTCTGTTCAAATTGAATCATAATATTGTGCAGTTAAGTGTAACAAGTATGATAGTGCAATGAATCTGTTATGGTTTAACATATTTTTAACAGTTTAACTGTCCTAATACTTGGGAAAGTCGCGGCTGGATGAATGTTAAATTGAACAATTTTTCTGTTCAAATTGAACCATTATCTTCTGTAGTTAATAGCACGGTAGTGCAGTAAATCTATTATGGTTTATTTACCAGTTTTATTTCAGACAGTTTTTGTATTTAAATCATTCCATTTCATTTAGCAAATGCCAGTAACTGTTCCAGTACTAGGGAAAGTTGCGACTGAAAAAATGTTAAATTGAAACATTTTTCTGTTCAAATTGAACCTTTATCTTGTGTAATTAAATATAACAGTGCAGTAAATCTTTTATGGTTTAACACACTTCTAACAGTTTAATTCAGACCATTTTTCTATTTAAATTTAAGCTATTTCATTTTGCTTCAAAAAAGCCAGTTACTGTCCCAGTAATTGGAAAAGTTTCCAATTTATCTCCTTCATGCAGATCAGTGCTATTCCATCTATTTGACGCCCACGTAATGAATTATGTATTAAATACATTTCCTTTCTAATTTATTTTTAATTGTTTTTAAATATTTTCTTTTAAAATCAATGACGTGAATATCAAAAAAACGCGACTTTCTGATCAAATTGAACCATAGTATTATGTAGTTAAGTATAACAAGTACGATAGTGAGTTAATCAATAATGATTTAGCACACTTCTAACAGTTTAATTCATACAGTCTTTGTTTTTCAAATTTAAATCATTCCATTCCGTTTTACAAAAGCTAGTAGCTGTCCCAGTCCTTGGGAAAGTTTCCAATTTATCTCCTTCATAGCGATCAGTGATATTCCGTCCATTTGACGCCCACATAATGAATTATGTATTAAATACATCTTCCTTTCCCATTTTTTAAAATTCTTTTTAAAAATTTTCTTTTAAAATCAACGACGTGAATATCAAAAGAAGAACGCTACTAGATATTTCATTTGTAATTTACTTTCGTGACAGAAATGGTTGTTTTCGGTTTTCCAGCTTATATTCTACTCTGTTTCAGTATTTATTGCCAATTTATTCACATTGACAAAAGTTATTGAGATTTAAGAGACTAAAATATTGTTTAATGTAAAAAAATTTTAAAATAAATCATCCAAGTGTTTGCATTTATTTATATTTTCATTATTATTTTTTAATTTTGTAAGTGTTATACTTATATTTTTATTACTAAATTATTAACATCAGAAAATTTTTTATTTATTTATTTAAAGCTATAATCTGGATTTTAGTTTACTTATTTATTAATTTGGTTTAGCACTTTAAGTATTATTGTCTTTTCACATTATAATTTTTTTTTCTTGTTCTAGACTTAAAGCTGACTGTGCACTCTCAGAAAAATGTTTCAATGTTAACCAGAATATCTGTGCCTTAGACCATAATACGGTGCAAATTTGCTGCAATCTCAATAAGGTATTAAACCAAACCATATTCCTATTTAAGATGATCAATAGTATCATGTAGTAGCAATTTTAATGTAATGGTAAGTTTAAGAAGTATGAAAAAAATTTCAACTCAGCATCACATTAAGTAAAGCATTCTCTTCATTTATCAGGGAACATAGCTTATGATTTCGAGACCAACGAAATTATGGTAGCAATGTGGTCAGCATTGTCTTGAATAGGGACTTTCACAATTTCAGACCAGTGCCTTATCCACTGTGACATCGTGGTTTAGCATCACTTTAAGTTAAAATAAGTTCTCATGATTCACCAGATTTAAACATACTTTGAAAGTGCTTCTGTTGTTCAAAGGAACATTATGTCGTTTATATAAAAAGAAAAATTTAATTTTTTTACCATTTGAATCCTTTAATTAATGCCTTTTTATATCCTGCATTTATAATTATTGGTTTTTTTCTTCTAAAACAGTGGAACTTTATATTTTTTTACCCATTTTAAGCTCAATATGAAATTTGCCAAATTTCATAGTGAGCGAAATTTGGCTCTAAATTAAACCATATTATTCATACCAGATTATTGTTCAACCGTATATTATCGCTCAACTTGATTCTAAGGTTTGGCTTGAATGGAATTATGGTTCCATTTAACACCTTCTTAAGATTGCAGTAAATTTGAACGATATATATGGATCAATATACTAATATTATGGTTTCTTGTAGAATTTATTATTTTTGGGAGTGTATGTTTCTCGCGAAAGATGTAAATAAGCGATTGCCTTTTAGAGCCTTTTTTAGAAGCATTTATAGTTTAATATTTGCTTTAAAAGGAATTTTTGTTATATTTTACCAAAGAGATACGAGCGTTGAAGGAAGGAGCATTAATTCATTTTATTAATTGAGCCAAGTAAACTGAGATTCAGTACACTGGAAATTAATCAACCACGATTCAGAGATAAAAATCCCTTTTTTAATTTGTAATGTTTCATTTTGTAATGCTTGGATTTCGTTAAAATAAGACTATATTGTCAAGCATCAGTATAATTATTCTAACTGCATTATAAAAATTACCCCTTGTTAAGTTTTATACTTCCCTTTATATTTATAATAACAATCCATAAATTCATTTTTGTAGAGTTTTTATTCCAAAGCAATCCACCTGAGAATTAATTAGATAATTATCAAACGATCTGAAAGCCTGGACTTAACTGGTCCGAGAAGATTTTAACGCATTTGTTCCAACCATAGTAAGCTGTAAAAAAACGTATTAATTTACATTGTTTTTTCAAATTTTCCTTTTATTGAATTAAACCCCCTGTGATTCAATAGCTATTGCTTAACCTATTGCGATTCATAAAGGAAAGACTAACCTAACTGAAATGCCCTTACAAAATAGCAATGCTTCATTTTCCCCGTAATGATACTAAGTTTTTGTTCAAATTAGACTATACCAAACATCATTATAGACCAGTTTTTCCCAAAGTGCGGTACGCGTACCTCCAGAGGTACGGGAACAGTTTAGTGGGGGTACACGTTCTTATGCCAAATATCTTGCAACAAACGAAAATTTCAAAAAATTTTATTTAAAAACATGAAAATTAACGATTACGTATTTTTCTATGAGCTATTTTCTGCGGAGTTAACAGTTAATAATTAGTGGTGTCAACAGCTAGTTGTGATTTTTAACTTTTGTGCAATTTATTTATAGTAAAAAATGCATTCATTTCTTTATTAGGGGGTACACAGCGTTACGAAAATTTAGAAAGGGTACACAAAAGTCATAAGTTTGGTAAACACTGTTATAGACCTTCCGACAAAATGAGAAAATCGCCCCTAGTTGAACTTGGTACTCCTATATTTAAATTAAAAAACCACAAATCCATCTTCACGTGGAATTTTTATTTCAAAGAATCCACCAGAGGATTAACTATATTGCCCCACTGAGCTATTACCTCAAAGCTCTAGATAATCACCAAACGATCTAAAAGCCTGGATTTTACTGGTCCGATAAGATTCGAACGCAATTGTTCCAACCACAGTGAGCTATAAGAAGAGCGTATTAATTCATTTTATTAATTGAGCCAAGCACCCTGCGATTCAAGGCACTGGAAATTAATCAACCGCGATTCAGAGATGAAAGCAGTAAATCTTTCTCAGAGCATTTCTCCGTTCTTTTGTTATTTACGGGGGGGGGGATGTATAAGGTAGAGGGTGAAGTAGGTCCCCCTTAATGAAAAGAAAGCCTTCCTTTATCCAGGGAAACGTTTGTAGAAAAGTGTGGGGGGATTTAGAAACTCTGCCAGTACAATTAACGTGAAGCTTTTGCCTTAATGATCACACCACCATGAGGGTTGACGATAAGTGTGGGTGTGCTACTTTTCTTTACCAAATCAAGACAAGACACACAGATGGTTGAGAAGGAAAATCAAAAGATGCTATTGAAAAAGAAAGGAAGAAGAATTTAAACAAATAAACGAGAAGGAATCGTGTTTTAGTACATGATGTTGTACTTTTAATACATTTGATTTGCTCATAGTCATCTTATCTGCTTCTAATTTAATTAGCAAAAATAATTAATGCTTCACTTATAGGCTGTTATCATTTCGCTTCAAGGGGACACAGGTACAACTAGTTTTCATACTTAGCTTTAATTCAACATATTTGTTTAATATGTGAAACAAATACAGTAATCGGAGGGGAAAAGAAAATCAGAAAAAAATCAGCATGAATTGCATAAAAATAAAGTTAGAATTTTTTTTTTTAGTTAAATCTTTATTATTTAAGTAAGAATAAAATAATCTTTCTGCTATATATTTTAAATGCTATAGATGAATATTACGGGAAATTGCTATTAAGATGTATTTAATATATAAAATAAGTCTCTACATTGTAAAAAATTCCAGAGCGAATGACGGTATAAACTATCTGCACTTGTGTGCATCATCTATAAAATCCATTTTACGTCAAAAACCATTTTTACCATGAAATGTTATACCGTATTTTTTTTTTAAGTAATAATTATTTAAATAGAGTGATTCAGTGATTTCACTGTAATTATTACTGAAAAAATTACGGTTTATCAGATTTTTTGTTTCGTAACATGTTATGGTAAAAATGAATTTAACTATAAAAAGTATCGGCACTTTGAGCGCCGGTACTTTTCAGCGCAATTTGATTCGAAATTTTTTGCAATGTATTTTAGATAGAAAAACGATGAAAAAAAAAACACCCTAAATCACATTAAATGAGTTTGAATTTCTTTTTAACTATTTCTGATGATTTAAGTTATTATAAATGAATCATACTGCAATGCATTTTGTATGTACAGGTATGTTGTACATCGCTGGGAATTGTTGATAAGATATTTCAAGCTAAATATTATTCACCATTTACTTTAAAATGCATTATTATAATTCCTTAAACTGTTAAAATATTAAATGGAAAAGTTTGACTTCATTTATTTGAAATTCATTTTGATTTGGAGCCAAAAATTCTAATAACGTATTCTAAAGGGGTATTCAGCAAAATTCCGTTGAGATTTAATTAGTAGAATTGTATATATACCATTTAGATAAATAGTTTTATACTAAGTTTAATGTCCTCACTTGTTAAATGAAATTCTAAGTGAATAAACTTATTAATAAATAAATATTTATAAGTTTCATTGTGGTACTAATTTAAATTAATGATAAAGTTTAAGAATAGGTATCAGATGGAAAACAAAACCAGCTTCAGATCGATGGGTACCAGCCTGTTTGGAAAGTAACGGTGGCCTGAGCGTAGTGCTGACCACAATGCCTCAATCATGCCGTTGGTCACAAAATTGTGGGGGCTTAACCACCAGGACCCCCTGGCTCACTACAGGCTGATGCGGGAAATCTTTTCTAAGAAATCAAAAAGAATTTAATGTAGTTTTCTGAAAAAGCATTATCGAAATATTATAAATTTATTTAAATATAATAATAAGGCAATAAACTTTTGTAACAAGGGATTCAACAATTTCTTCTTCTTATTTATTTATTTATTTATTTATTTATTGCAACACCAATGTTTTCTTTAGCAGTATTTGAAAACAATTTTTGCCAATTCAATTTCAATTTACCACTCTACATTATTTGGAGGAAAAAATATGGAAAAAAGTTGTATAATAATTAATGCTATTGATTTGATAGCCAACTTTTGTGAAGGATGACCACAAGAAGTAGAATTACTTCTTTATTTTGTTACAGCACTGTAAAAAATTCCGAATTAAATTGCGGTATAAAGTACCGACAGTTGGGTGTATCATTCGTAGAATCCTTTTTTACCGTGAAATATTATTCCGTAATTTTTATAGTAATATTTATTTAATCTGGGTGATTCAAAGATTATTACTAAATTCAATTAATACTGGAAAAATTACGGTTTATCAGACTTTTTGTTCCAAATTATGCTTTGGTAAAAAGTACAGGCACCCGAACTGCCGGTATTTTTTACAATAATATGATTCCGAATTTTTTACTGTTTACTTTATGAGAGTTTCTAAATATTTACCTCATTTAGTGAAAATTTAGTAAAAAAATTTCACACCAGTAACATTCAAGGAACATTTGATTTTTTTTCCTCACGATGTATTAAAAATTGAGTTAAAACTCATAAATCGAACTTTTCATCACTCATTAGAAGAAAATTATTTTAACTTTTAAGAAAGAGATTAGAAATGCTTCTAAGATTTCCAAAATTATTTTGTAAGTAGGCTAATATTTTAATATTCGTAAAAATTTCTCCAAATTTTTTTAGCGCGTCTTGGAAATAAACAATAATATATAGTTTCAATAACATCCGGGTATTTTAAAGAAATTCTGAGAATTGTGAAAACCATCATCGTAATTATACACGAGTGAGGCACGTTTCGGGAATTCTCGTATCTTTAAGAAATAGTATAAAAATATAAATAAGACTTTTTGTAATTGTCAATAATATTTCTCTATATTATTATTTCTCTGAGAACATTTTATAAAGGAAATGAGATTTG